TTATCAGCGTCTGAAATTATTTCCCAGGTAATTTCCGCCCGAAATATTTCTATTGTAGAATTATTTACCCGACATTAGTTGATTACAGGTGGGGATCGCGAGCCAGCCACTATCTTCCCTGCGATCGTGCGCGACATAGTCGTTTCGTCGTGATCGGTGAACGTTATTCCCGGCCGCGGATAATAATTAATAAAGACCTTGATGTTGCCAGCTTGGCATTAAGTCGTTAGATCCGGAGAAATCGATTGGAAACACTTACAACGGCAATTTCGTTAACCCGGCGCCGATAACGCTTGATGGCGAGGCAAAATCGAGCAGAACAGAACCCGGTCATATTACAGGTCGTTTCAATCGCGAATCACTAGATGATGCATCCTCCACTGTGGTTTACGATCATCGATATCGCGGTTAAAATAAATAGAGCGCAATCCTGTCGTTGATCCTTCGCCACGACAACGGGACAGTACCAGTTAAAACAGTGTTTCTCAATCCTTTATGGTCCCTAATCACGTCTCAAATTTTACTTTGTCTTTGCAGTTTTATGATTGCATGTTCGAGTTATTAAAAAAAAGATAAACTTTCTCGAAGATATAATCATCGTAACGACTCAGTCCCTTAATTTATTGATAAGCCATACGACCAAGAATCTCCGAGTTAGAAGACCATATTTGGCTTCGTCGACTGCTACGTGACGACGACGTATCATTAGGGTGCGCCATTTTTAGTATTCCGTCAAATTTGCAGCCCTCCCCCGTAACTAGCTATCCTCGATAAGTTAATGTCGTTGGTTACGCCCTGTTCCGTCTATAGCAAGAGAGACAGAGATTTTGATGCAATTAAGAAACTAAATAGCAATTTCACGCTAGTATAAATAATTGTCGAGTTTTCGAACGACGCGACGTCTATAATTAGCCGGGGGACAATTTACCTCCGACTTTAATTGCTTTGTTCTTATTGTTCGACATCGAGAATGTGTAATCCAGATAGGAGTACGTATCTTCTGCGAAGGAATGAATATCACGATACGCAGAAAGTTAATTTCATAGAACGAGTAAACATTGTGGAGCGACTACCGTGCATGCTCGCGAGTTGCGAGCTTCCAGCGGGAAAGTATATTGTGCCCGTTACGGTGAAACGATCATTGGAACGGCCGTACCGTAATGACCATAATGACGTTCGTCGAACGAGGGTTAACAAATTTCTTTCTAAAAATGGTGTCTCGCGACGGGGTTCCGCGCGCTAAACGCGTTAATTGAACGGTCGTAAAATCAGCGGGGAGCGAGCCGATATTGAATGCGGAATTTCTGAGAGAGGAGCCGCGTGGTCTCGAATAGATGCGAACTCAATAAAGGACACGGTAACCGCAGATAATTCAGGTAGCGAGGGAGAGCTCCATTGAAGCGTCTCGCTTGTATTCAAATTCAACGTTCAGCAGCGTGACCGTGTCACGTAATCGATAGGTGAGCACCGCTACCGGACAGGGTGCGTCGTCCTTTTAAGTCAGGACGTAATCTTGCGCGGGCACGTCAGTCATTCCTCGTGCGTTATCGCGGCCGCATCTCGTTGACTCTATTTCTCCGCGGCGTTTTAACGTGGACAGAAGCGTGTTTCAGCGCCCCGTGACTACACCTGCCGATAAATCCGTACCATTTCCACGCACACCGTCCAACCAAGTAAGTTGGAAACCATTCTCTGCTCACCTGTTGATCCGCTGAACGTTGACCGAGTTTTGCCCGTCGACGAGTCTTTTAAAACGGTAACGAAAAAAATCGCAAAGTATTATCTTAGAGATGAAAATATTAATTCGATTCTATTTGCGTTGCATAGGCAATTAAAATCAATCAGAATTAATTTTACGAATAAAATTGTTCGCTGAAGCTTCTGTAGCTGGTATTCCTTGCAGCTTGAACATTTCGAATAATAATGTTACCCGCGGTTGAATATATTTGAGCGCAGCAGTCGAGAGGTTAAGCTTTCAACGCTTCGAGGCCGGTAGTAATAGCCTTGCCACGCATTGAAGTCACTCGGTAGTAATAGCCTTACCACGCATTGAAGTCACTCGAACGTTTGTATTAGCACGTTGACTGCCAGACCGAAATTTCGACTTTAAACAATCGTAAACCACGTAATTTAACAGTTATCTTACTACTTATTTTTGCAACTTCACTAAAGTTCATGAATTTGTTTCTCACTAGTGATTTTCATAATTTCTCAGTGTTCTTTGTGTCAAGTGTTTTTAAAAACGTGAAGTCATCGTAACAATATCGAACGTACGCACTTTCCCATTACGATACAGATTCACAGAACTTGTAGAAGAAATCGCGTTTCGTTAGTTTCATTTTTTTTCCCCCCCCTTAATTCCAGTCCTGTCATATCCGTTTAATTACACCGTCTTCTTTTCGTTTTTTCTCGCTCGGGCATTACTTGGCAACATTTTCTCCCGTAATATTCGTGTCCCGAACTGCCCCAAGTTTTTATCGACATTAATTAAAATTCCCTTTTACCCTCTCATTAACATTTCATGACTTCTTAAATGGAGGCCGTACCTTTTCACAGGCCCGAACGGCGATCTTACCGAAGGCCTGCACTCGCTGATCTTATTTCCTCGGCTGTTCTATCGTTAATACACATCATCTAGTAACGTATGCTGTATCGAAACGATACCGAGCACAGATAGCCACGAAAGATTTCGACGTTACCTCGCGAATTCTTACGTTTCCCATGAATATTCATCGCGCGGCTACATCTACAACAACACGATCGTAAATTTCCATCGCGACATCACGCGTTCCTAGATTTCGTCGAATTAAATTTGTCAAGGATGTACTAATGTTTCTCTTATTTTTAATACACTACCGGGTGCGACAGGAAAGTAAATAAATCTTTTCGGTGGCGTCGTTAAAGCTTCCTTCGAATCTCATTACGTTCTTTACAAGTATCCGAACGACGCTACCGATCGAAGCGATTGCCTTTAAAAAATTTTACGTAAACTTGAAGGTACGACAGAGCGATATTTTTTTATTATGTATAGACGGAATCGTTTTATCCGTGTGCAGGACACGATCGGTGTTGATATGCGGAAAGAGTAGTCGCGCGCTGTATCTATGCAAATATGTTACAAATAGTACCAAGAACAGGACATTTGAAATGCCAGCTGGTATCTGAGCTCGTGGATCGGTTTTGACTGAATACCTCATTAGATCGGGACACTGGTTCTTGGTAAAACATCGTTAGGCGTATCCCACGTAAATACGTTCCTCGTCGAGTTCTCGAACTCTTCACTTTCCTTCGTTTTAAATTCCGTCACAGTGTTTTTTCGCGCACCAGGTTGTTTAAGGTAAATAAATTTACACGGCCCCGTGAATTCGAGTAAAAACCCATCGGGTTCGCTTCTTCGTTCTTTCTGAACGGTACCATTGCTTGGGGGGATCGATGGGTACGAAATGGATTGGTCACGAACTTCTATCGAAGAGAAGTTCTCCTGTTTACATCTTGACCGTGAAGTTAACGTCTATGGAAGCCACGATGCCTCTTTTTGCGATACTCAAAAAGAGGCTTAACGGGCTCGCAGAAAGGGGAACGAATACGGTTTTATTTTGTTTAACTCTCGCGTCAATAATCAAAATACTGAGTACTCGAAGAGTGCTGGAACAAGTCGGATAGAAAGTAATGATTTTCCATGCTACGGTCCTTGCATGATATTCCTTTTAGTTACAATAGCGAACTGATAGGCCATTTTTCTCACGGGCGAAACGCGGAGAACCGGTTTGCGAAGGTGTTGGCAACCTTGGGAGTAGAACAATCGAAATTGCTTCATACATGCAAGATATGTTTTGAGTAGACCAATTTCTTGGACGTAAATGTTCAGATTTCTGCAAATAATGTTTACTTTGAGTACTGAAAGCTTTCTCGTAATCATCTCTATCGATAAATGAAATTCTTTTTATGAGTAATATTATTAATGGGTGAGTTATTTTACCCGAGTTTATGTATTGAATTTCGAAGATTCGAAAGAATGCAAAACGATGCTGGGTTATTTAATTTCGCGTCAGGACGGGGACCGAATGGGATTGGCGTCAAGTTGATTTCTCAGTTGGAGCTCGGCCAGCCAGAATGAACATTTAATTAAACGCTTTGTTCCCGCGGTTTTTGCCGATGGTCGAGTCACTCCTCGGAGTCGTGATCACGGAAGGAATGTTCCCCGTCGGAGTCCCTGCAACGGGGAGACGGATAACGCGAAGGTGGAGGGACATTCTTATCTCGCGAGATCTCTAATTAAAAGATCTCTCATTCCCGCCTTCGTTCGAAGACAACGAGAAACGCGTCCGCTCGGCTCGAAATGCCGCCAGCGAATAGCGATGTCGGTCTTTAATCGACGCTGATTACGGTTAATGGATAATTAGCGATGCAAATCGAATTTGCAACAATTATCGAAAATCTAACCCAACCATGTCTATTTATACGAGACCTTCTTCGAACATAATATAAACTTTGTCCTGATCTTTTTTGGTCACTCTGCATAATATTTCCATTATATTTTCGCTTAACCACGTACACGTTTGCTTTGAATTTTGCACGTTTATCAACCGTTACGATCTCCTTTTTTTCGTTCGAGGGATCAGTTATTGTAACGATAATTAACCTTTGTTGTTAACTTCCCACGATAATCTGTTAATTGCATTTTCGAATATTAGCTGCTTTGTTCGTTGCTTGAAAGGCAGCGCGTTACGCGCGTACTTGCTTTATTTGTCTTCGATGCGGACGGGCATTTAATTATGGTCGTTGGCAAGAGGTAGCATTATTTAAATCCTAATTTGCCACGGTTGTTTGCACGATTGAAATTTATCGTGGCGGCGGTGGGTGCCGTTTTACGAGCAACAGAAATACGCATTATTTCATTTCGTATTCCAGATTCGGCGGTAGTGTTTAATTACAGCACGGGCATACGAATAACGAACGATCCTCGATACGCGTGTTACGGTGGAAACAGGGTCAGAGAGATGCCTCGAACGAGGGCCGAAGTTCTGTTGGATATGTACGGGCACTCGAAGGGAGGGATTTCTCGTGCGTACGTGATGTAAGTTCACTGTAATTATGAGTTCCACTTGCCTGGTATCATAGAAGAGAAATCAGCTGCATAGTATCGGGTGAAAACGTTCGCGCGCCGCTCGAAAGCATAACACGACGAGAGGAAACAGACTGGATCCATTCCACCAGTTTATCCGTTTTGCATTCGTACTTTTCGTGTACGGTTCGAAAGGAAAAGTGATGGAAATCTTACGGAACAGGGGGATTAAACGAGCACAGAATTTCTAGGTGAAAATTATTTTACGTGCTTAGTACGTACTTGTAATTATCCTGTCAGGGAATAATTAAAAGATCTAAAGGGGAAATTGAAGAGTAAACGTGATACTTTGTAGGCAGAAAACTTGCTTAGGATGCGTTATTTCGCCAACCATTAATTATCTGATGATATCAACAGTGTATAGTATTATATTATAAGAAATCGAGTATTAAACAAATTAATTAATGGCGTACACAGTGGCGGAGTTTCTTCGGTAATTTGATTTTAATGAATGGTTCAAGAAGAAAAACTTGTAACGTAAACACGCCCTTCCTCCCTATTTCCTTATTCTCTACTTTCGATCAGAGTTTTATAATAAATAATTTGATTCGATCGACAACGTCTTGACTTTCGTTTATTGAACTGGAGAAATCCTGCTTGAATAAATTCCATTCTCGTGTTTCACAGCAATAATATTTTGCAATCAAATGCATTGGGCTGCCAATAATTAATGCTACGTACTCAACAAGATCTCAAATCACTTTTCTACTTCGGATGAAACAGAATCGATCATTTGTTACGTTCGAACGCGAAGCTTCTCTGCCCCGTACAGCGTGATTCGAAGCCAGAGTTTGGCATTGCTTGATTAATTATTCGGGTGTAATTAATCGATTAAGCGATACGATTAAAAATGTAGTCGTCAGAATTAATCACGATTAACGTTAGTCGATTACTGGAATTAATCGCTCGCGACGATTAAATTGATCGTTACTTTCGTGCGTCCATCGTTGATTAAATTAACGATTAATCAGGCGTTCCTCGGATAGTTTCAAATTGTTCACTGATTCATGCTGCTTTTAGAATAAATTTGCTTCTTAAATATTTACGTATATTTTTATTTTGAAATTCGAGACAAATAGTAATGTACAATATTCTCGAGATTATCGTTTCTGTTCTAGTTCGCGATCTGGTTCTTACATTCGGAAATACCGGTGTCGTTTACGCCATAGTGCTATCTAAAATTGATTAATGCGTCCGCTGGTTCAGCAAATAACATGCAATACATCACACAACGTGCAGTACAAATCTTCTATCCTAAAAATAGATCCCCTATTACTTTCATCGATGGAGCATACGCTGTAAGGTACGCGAGTACAGGGACGATCATTTTCTGCATATCCACGATACTTCCCCGTGTAATTATTGCTCAAAGACAAGCAAGCTATGAAAGTATGCTTTACGATCTTGTCTCTCAAGCAACTGCCTCTGATTACGGGTACATTGTACGTTCGTTTGCGGTCGTGATTCAAGGCTTCTTGCCGCGATTGGTAATAAACCGTCGCTTTTCCGGTCTTACGAACTCTGATTGAATGTTTAGCCGATTGCACGGCGCTTCGATTATATTTCCTGTTCTTTCTCCCTAACTTCTTCGTTGGAAAAAATTCACGATCATTTACAGTAAAATTACGAATGAAATAGATTTGGTTTACGGGAGTAGTCGATTAAAGAACGAACGATTCACCTTGAAACGACTGCAACTAAACTCCTCATACTTTTATCTTTAAAATTATCCTGTAACAACATCTTTCACGCGGAAAACGTGACATGCAATTTACCACACCGCGAATGTAAATTAAAATCGAAGGGTAATTGGAGTTCTTCCAGCGTTAATTTTCGCATTCACTGTAGCGATACCGGCGATAAAGAGACAATTTAACTCGAACAAAACGAGTTTCCGTCCAATCGAAGGAATCCTTGACAAACGAGGACCGATCCGATCGAAATCAATATCTCTGACTAATTACGCGGACGCTGAGCAATTCGATCGCCATTTTACCCACGGAGCGTTACAAAACCGTTCTTTTTGCCCGACTTCCATCGAGGGACGGTTACCATCGTCGTGGTTCTGTTAATTTTCATTCGATTTGATCGAGAAAGCGCATGTTTGAAAAAGAAACCAGATAAAAGGGGAGGGGAATTTTCTGCGGTCGGGTAACGCAAGATGTAAGGTAATTAATGCCCTTGGACGTTTAATTGGAAAAAAGGATGCTTTACGAGCTTGCTTTACGATGAGCTGCCCTGCTCCTGCGCGTCGTTCGCTTCAGGATCACGGCTGTTGCCCGACATTCCCGTCGCTTTTCCGATCAGGATGAAGCGATAGGATAATCGGATCGCGAGATCGGCAGGACGTCTCTGCGTTACAGACCACGGTTATCGCTCGAGTTGACTCTAGTCCAGTTTTGCTCGAACGTCAATCCGATCTTTCGATGAATACTTCAGCCCTGATAGCTGTCTTCGGACGTTCAACGTCTCTGTGAAACTTAACGCTCTTCTTGGCGTCCTATAGTGCTTTAAACGCGATGTTACTTAAAATTTCATTATTTCATCGAGTGAAATAAAGTTACCTTATTTTAGGAAATAACGTCAAAGATAAAGGAAAGTTTAGACCAGTTATTTACTTCTCAGAATCTGTAATTTAAATTGCTCCGAAACTTTGCTTGGAGCGTAGATAAAGTATCGAGGTTATAAACTTGGGGGAAGTAAGGTAATTTAATTGTATTTAACATTGTGGTGTTGTAGAGGATAATTTTCAGAATTATTTTGCAAGAAAATACGGCACGCCTGGTAAATAATGAATTTAAAACGATCTTCGACGTATTTTGGTAGGGTTCAGGGACTCGTGCCATGTATTAAATCGCGGACTTTTTGTTTTTATGTTATTAAACTGCGTTGTTGAGCATGGTGATTGCTTCGGTGAAAGACGTTCCCATCTTTATTGATCAGGATGACGTGGGATGGACACGCGATAATTAAATCGCCGCGAGATCGAGAAGATATCCTCCCAGGCCGAGCTGATCGCCTAAACTATTCGATCTACATATATGCAACGTTTAATCAAAATATGCGCAGAAATTAATAATTTACTACGTATAAATAATTATTATACCAATAATAGTATTCGGCGAATATACCTTTTCGATCGTTTTTATTAACCGATAGTAAGAATTTCGATTAATACAGAGAAATATAATTAGGGATATGTAAATTATACAGACACTATTGGAACACCATGATAGCTCCAGATGGCTGTTTTTACGAACATAATTTACACAGTCCAAAGCGAGAATGCTTGAAATCCATTCGAAGCGAATAGATACTTCACGCAGAGATAAGCCAGCAATTTGTATGTCAAAAAACACATTTGGACAGTGATGATTTATGATGCTCTGGTGTGAAGTAATTTTATTAGTTCGATTTCAGATCGGAGCTGCTCGACACGCGCAGCTTAGCTATAAATTCAGCCCCATCGTCGGTTTCTTTTTTGAAAATTGAAAACTGAATGTCACTTAGCGCAACGTTCTTTTTTTTATTCATGATATATTTCAAAACAGCGAGCAAGTTTTTGTACGAGACACCCTGATCAATTCGCTTAAAAATAACTGGACGTAGTCGAAGGACCGAGGACCTTGGTAGGTTAAGGGCGTTTTATATGCAATTAAAAATGGTGTTCACACTTTCTTAATGAAGATTTATTTTCGATGAATATTCAACGCGTCTAATTATATTACGGTGCTCTTATATTTCTCGTTAGGAGCGTGTGTCGTGCCCGCGTTACGATATCAATTTCTCAAATATCTCTTAATGAGCATCGATTGACCGATAAAATATAATCGCGCGTGCTCGTACAAACATTGCTCGATGGGTGTACCCGCGGGTACTCGAATGCCGCGAGTATTCGCGGATTTTAATTTACTTTCGTTTCACCACGGCCTTCCGATCGGAGTGAAATTCCTTTTGACTAGTAGATACGCACTTGGCGAGCTTTGCTTGTTGAGTGGAGGCCGGTGCGTCATTAATCAACGTCCACCGTTGAAAATTTCACGTTATGTTGATGCACCTGCGTGCGCTTGTACACGTGTGTCTACATGACATATCATTTTAATTTACGACGCTCGATGCTTGAGAAATTAATAGATCACGACGCCGGGAAAAATCCAATAACGCGACGCGAACCACGGCGAGTCCTCGAGATACGCGGATTTGCATAAATAGTGTCCCACCTGACTCGATCACCTTAAACACCTGCTTTTCGAAAAAATATGTAAAATAAATATTCTGTTTGTTTCTTAATAAAAATCAAAACTTTACCATTTTAAAATAGACAGTGTCCATCGATCAAAATGAATTATACCAAATATGACCTAATGTATTATAGTAAGAAAGAAAGATCAAGGCCTGGGTTTGAGCAAAAATGGCTGGACACTGTCCACGTACCGATTCTTTTTCCCCCCTGCAATACATTGTATTTATACCACTTGACTTACAACTAAAGCTCCGGAACGAATTAACCGCGTAAGTCGAGGACTTACCGTAATCCGGAATAAAATGTACAGTGGTGCTCAAGTCGGCGAACGCGAAGAAATTTCGCAACGATCGACGCGCGTACATTTTAGATAGCGTAATTTTAACGCAGACATCCACGTCGGTAGGATGTCGTCTATTACATCCGATCTTGGTGATTAGAAACGCCGGTGCTCCGGGCATTTTTCTTACGTATCTGAAATATTGTTCCAGGACAAGAACTGCAAGAATAAGTAGAAAATCGAGCGAATAACACGTTAGTCGACGTTTACCCTTTTTCTCTGTAATAAGCAGTATAGGTACACGAGTAGTTTCTGCTTTATGTAAGTTTTGTCATTATTCGAGTCGTTGTCTGGTTTCTTGTCAAGTATTCCGAGGAAAGAATTTCTTGCACCATTGAAACTCGATGACAAAATTAATCCTGCAATTCGTAAAAACTTAAAGATAGCACACGCCTGGTTTTTGTTGCAATCTTGATAGGTTCTCTCTAAGCTTCCGTTATTTCGTACAACTATCTGTTTATTTCAAGTACCAGTTATTTCTCGTATTCTTTATGAAGTCGTATTATTCCTCGTCCGTAGTCCTGAAGAGTTGCGCGTCCTTAAGTGAACAGTCAAACAAGCGCATTTAACGAAGCACCGGCGTAACGGTATTTCGCTAGAGTTTTAATTTACCGAAAGCCCTAACGATCTGCTCATAGAATTTTCATGCGGGAGAAATATGAATAGAAGTTCTTATTTGCTATGACATTTATAAGTCGCCGCCGACATTGTCCCTTTGCAACGCAAACGCAACGCTGTTGCGTATTAATTATTGGCTGTAACGCTATAAAACTGATAATATATCGGCAGAATTCAATACTAATCGTTTCTAATTCGTGTATCCACTTCCTGGAAACGTTCTTATTCCAGCAATTTTTGTTTGCATTCCACATTCGATGGGATGCATTCTTTTGCCAGGGCGTAAAAAGCACGCGTATAGTTTTACAGCGCAGAGGATACAATTTATTCCGGTAATGAACCGCGCGATCTATAATCGTTCTTTCGGTTCGAATTGCACAAGTAGAATACTAAGTAATCTGCCTTGTACCCGTCCTGATGTGGTAGACCGCTTCCTGATCGAATAACGATGTACGCTTTTTATCGATCATAAACACAAATACGTTTGAACGATAGTCTCAGAAAGTTAGCACGAAGGGTGCAATTAAATAAGAAAACTTTAATATAAAATTAAAAAGATTTAGCTTTCTGTCAGTCGTGAAATTGAAAGGTTTGGTTCGTTTAATAAATATGCCAAATGACAAGTTATCATCGTTATTATGAAATGTCTGGTCGGCGAATGGGATCGTTTGCAGGGAGAAAAGTAAAAGGGAAAAAGAGATTCGCGATCGGTTGTATCAATCGTTCCCGTTCGATCCCGTTTCTTCCGATCGTTTTTCCTCGGTTCTTGTTAACGAACGTCGAGGTTTAGAGTCAGAGAACTTAATAGACGCCGTTCGACAAGCACCGCGGATGCCCTTATTAAAGTAAAACCGATGGTTCGCGTACGTGCCTTGGGAATCGCGAGTGCGTGCACTTAATGCATTAACCGCACGCTAATTTTATATTCCGGAATTTTTTCCTTTAACGAGATAACGGCAACGCAGCGAAGTGTGTCCTAGAAATGGGTCGCTCCCGCTTAATGGCCGTGGAACTGATTGGAGGCTGATTAGAACACGCGCGATAAGGAACAACCCATTACTTACGCTACCATTACTTATGCAGATGTATCGGTACCTTCGGGAATTGTCTTTCATTAAATTTATCTGCGAAGATGTTTGAAGAATGCGCTATTAAAAGCCTGGAAGAATTAAAAGGCTAACCGATATTAGGTAAATGCTTCCATTATCGGTAGATTCGTTGCGTACTATTTTCATTTATATTGTAATTCTAGCTATCTCAGCTTCTTTTCGTTCTAAAATTTTTCACCTTCAACCCCAGATATTTATATTTGTCCCTTGAAAGGAATATTGTATAAATAAAATTGTGTTTTTAAGGGAATTAAAAAGGTATTTTCATTTATATTGTAATTCTAGCTATCTCAGCTTCTTTTCGTTCTAAAATTTTTCACCTTCAACCTCAGATATTTATATTTGTCCCCTGAAAGGAATATTGTATAAACGAAATTGTGTTTTTAAGGGAATTAAAAAGGTATTTATTTTGGAATTAGTGTCGTCCGGGCATTTAAATGTCTCGTACGCATATGAATCTCGGTTGAGGGAAATTGGGATGGGTTCGTGGGTCATTTAATATTCTCCCGAGGATGGGAGTGACTCAGAACCGGAGGGATCATCCACACGGACAAGCATTTTTTTCGGTTCACGAGCCCATCGTGTCCATTGTCTCCGAAAACAATGGCGCCATGTATCATTGTTTCTTCTATAGAGGATGCGCGTCTTTTTCTTCGTTGTCACGCCCTTTCCTCCCTTGTAATGATGATCTGCCCGGGACGGTTTATGAATGTGATTTCGCGTGTAATATTAATTTGGCCGGAGGTGACGTTCGGTTTACACCCAACGAAGATGTCGCGCTTCGGAGAATCGTCCACGAACCACAGCGAGGTAAAACATTTTCGTTCATTGATACATTTTTTTTTATTAGAAGATTAGATTTATTAATTATTAGAGTTATGTTTCTGTTTCTTTACTGTAAAACATTTCATTGTACATTTCAAATTCTAATTTTTATTCGACGTATAACAAGTTGTTTGTCTTTTATTTGGGCAGGGATTTTGCCCATCGTCGCGAAAAAAGGGTATCAGGTCGCTGCTGTAATGTGACGTTGACAAATATGATCGCGAGCTCGCTTAATTCAACAATATTTACGCAAGAAACTCGCGACGCCGGCATATCTGACATAATAATCTAGCGGGATTGCATGAAAAGCGCGGGTTTTAAGCGAATTCCGCTAATGATCGTCCATTTCCTCTTCTTTTGCAGATGCGTGGCTGGAATGGCAGAAAAGTTGCGCGAGGCGGCCGCACGTGGCGACGTTGCCCGGGTTGCTCGTCTCCTCGACGAAGATATTAAACTTTTACCTGACGAGGTGAGTCCATTTCGTCGCAAATATACGCACAATGAATTTATAAAATTGACAACATTTAATAGCTCTAAAATTTTCGCCTGAACTTGGAGAAAACTTCTCTTTTTCGAATCGAAATTTGAAGTCTTAAGTCTTGTTAGCGAAAGGAGAAAAATGAGATACGTAAAAGGCTTGGAATGAAATGATTGTTATTGGTCCCAGTTTTAATTATTGCCGATGAAGTCGTAGATTGATCGAACGAGGACCTTATTAAACGGAAATGAGGCGCGGGAATGCTGTATATTAATTACGTTACGTATTTGCATCTCCGTTGTGACAGTCGCCGTCGGTGGGAATGCAGATAAGCGTGTGCGGTGGGCATTTGTCAAAATGTTGGTTCGTTCGGGCCCGAGGCAACCCGTCCGATTATCCATGCGTTCATTACAATTACTTCTTCCTTAATTGCGCCGATGAAATTAATCGCCGTACAGCTTTTTCTTCACCGCTGGCTAAGTTGAAGCGCAAGTGTTTTATTGCGAGCGCCGCCAACTCGAGAAACGCTACGGCGATACATTGATAGCGAATGCATGGAATAATTGTAATAATGGAGATCGATCTCGAGGTCGAAGGAAGCGTAACAGCTTTTTCCTGATTGAATCGCATTTGTAGAATCCTTCCAGCGTATTCGACGAAGCAGGACAGATTAACTTCGACTTTCCATCAATTTCTTTAACTAAATTATAATAAATTCTATCAAGAAGGTTAAAACTATTTCAAGAAAAATTCATCTTTTAATCTGAAGTTATCTAATCAGCTTCCTTGAGAAATAACAGGGTGATGAAATATAAATAGAGAGACTGAACTAGTGGTTTTCCAGTTTCGTTTGCGTCGAAGGAAACCCTGGAAGTCAGGTGTAATATGTTTAAAGGAATATCTATTTACGCCCGTTGAAAGTTGGTTAAGCATTTCTGCTCGAAGCAAACGTACGTCGGCACCGTGGAATTGTTATGTTGGTTGGAACGAAATTTATGTTATCTATAAGTCTTTTCCAGTTGATTTATCTGCACAACTATTTATCAATTGATATATTACACTTCCTGCATCTAACGAACGCGGATAAGGTATACTTCTTCATTAACACGCCTGCGTTCGTTTGCTCTATTACTCGATGGAACGGACGCACGTCTGCAGGAAATTCGCGTACACGTACGTCGCGAGCGTGTCGAAATGATGTATAACGCGATTTGTTAAGTTTGTATTACATACTATTTACGTCTGGAACGTGTCGTGAAAAAATACTACTCCTGCTCGTTTAATTCTGCAACCGTGATTACTAAAATACTCTCCGTAGATGGAACGTTTAATATTTATTATTTTTATCGAAGCAGCGGTAGCACTTGTTCTTCAAATTAGTAATGAAAAGACACACTGGAACGGATTAGAATTCAAGGATTGGCTCGTGGTAAACTCGAACGAATAATCGTGTCGTGTTGGTTGAACCCCTGTTCGGCTAATTAAGGCTGCGTCCCTGCTTCATCGAGCTAATTCGACACGAGGAATGCGCGTGTTACAAACTGAAATGCGGGTACCTATTAATTGCGTCGCTAATTGACCCCTGCGATGAATCACGAGGAGCCAATTCAGAGAACAGTTTGGGGAACACCGTTCGAATTTAATATTTAATATTTGTTACCAGGCGCAGCTCGGAATATAATTGAAACGTATGTGTGGGAGCAGACGCTAATAACGTATATTATTTCGCAGAATGGGAAGAGTCCTCTTCAACTGGCAGCTGCGGGCGGCCATGTGGACGTATGCGAGGCTTTGCTTCTTCGAGAAATCGACGTCAACGCTGCAGACAATGTGAGTTATATCCACCGACTTCCTTCTCCCTCTCTCGTTTTATTATTTCTCGCGTGAGACGACCGCGTCACAAATTACAGTTCGCTGAAATATCATTCATATGATTGCGCGGCATCATTAGAGAAAGCACAATTTATACGAACAGATATATTCAATTACTGAAAATTGCTGTTCCAAATAGGTCGCTTCATTAACGGAATTCAATCGACTTTGTATCGTGCATAATCATCCATTCTACTATTTGATCGATTACTGTTTTCTGGACGATCCAACAATTTTTTATTTTTCTAAAAATCGTGTTATTTTTACCGAATGAAAACGAGGAGTAAAATTCTTTGAAACGACCCGTCGTTTTCGAGAAAATCGACGCTGAAAGATGTACCAATGCATGCACGTAACTTCCAGGTAATGACTTGGTGAGTTTTAGCGTGCATCAAATCAGTTGCCTATTTCGAGGACGTAACGAGCATCGAATATTTGCAGGGGGAGATTGTAATTGCATTTCAAATTGTAGAGATTCCAGCACGATAGAAAGAGTTCGTAACCCACTACGGTGAGCTCAGATCATTATAGAACATTGCCAGGAATTTTTGAAATAATCAAACTAAATATTTACAAAGTACTTTTCAAGGATCTTTAATCCAAAATTAAGACACGAAACGCGTACCCTCGACCATAATCAACGATTCCAAAAGTGTGGACATTAAATTCCGAAGCGTCGAGCAATTCGAAATTGGTTAATAATTCACGGGGCCTTGGTAGGTTATTCTGCATGTCGGTTGTGCGATATATCAACACGAATATACAGGCTAACGAGGGGTGCAGGGATAATTACTGTGTAATTACGGGTTTACGCAGTTGACGAATGAAAGGGTGCTCTGGACTTTTCGCTTTTATTTGACGTCCGCGTCCGAAATACGCTGATAAAAGAATCAATCTTGCGAATAATCGGATTAGAAAATTCTAATATCGTCGTGATTTAAATTTAAATTTTGAAAGTTGAAGGATTGGAAGGTTAAATAATCTATCATTCCTTCCGCCTGTCCTCCTGTCACTTCTTACTTCGTTCAAAGAAATAGTTCTTATAACATTGTTTGAAACCAGTTTTACACCGGGTCCAGCAACACGAGGTTTTATACCAACAAAAAAGTCTTGTTCTATTCTTGGTTTGCTCCGGTGCTAGGTCTTGTTTTATCCGGATTTACCAACCTATCGTTTGACTGTTTTAAATCCTAGTCCAAACCTATCAGACTGTAAGCTGTTTCATATAAAGCCTGATTTAGTGTATCGAACAAAACCACTGATCTAATATTATTGTCCAAATATCTACATGGTCTCAGATTGTAAAAATTAAAAATAATAATCGAGGTTGAAGTATACCTGCACACTCGAAGTAAGATATTGTAAAAATAAATTCCGGTTTCAAACATGATGCACGTCGATATTTAAAAAAGCCATGACTGAAACTGAACGTACAGCAAATGGGATGGTACAGGACGGATAAACGGTGTGCAGCGTATAACGGAGATTAATGGGATAGTGTGTCATGTTATTAGTTTTTGGCGTGAAAATTTAAATATGGATACGAGTTTATTATACGAGGGACTCCACGAGTTTTCGTAAAAACATTTCCAAGTGTGTTTGCAAAAATAAAATAAAAATGTATAGACTTGAGTCCATCAATTGTTTTATAAAAATATGAAACCTACAAAATAACTCCAGGAAGATAGTTGTGCAACTAGTTTTCTCAAAGTTGTAACAGTTGAAAGATGAACAACGTTTCGACCAAGATTAAATGCATATTGTTCCGTTAATCTCGAAAGGATTAAGTGGTCAGTGGTTTATGTAGTAGTTCGTATTACGCATAGAGGGAACAGAAAATCGCCATTGAGTTCCCGGTAGTAAGAAGCTGAATTCCCTAGAGAGGTAGGAAAGAATGTTGTTGGCCGTATATCTGATATCGTAACGAGGGAAGACAATGATTCATTCGAAACGTCGAAAAGGCAATCGGGATCATCTTCGTTATCACGTATCGAGATCCGGCTAGACCCGAGCGTGGGTACAATGCATCCATTGGTGCAGTGACTGACGGCCAATCTTCTTCCCCCTGGCTGCAGAACACGTTTGGCTAGATCTTGCCAGCGAGGGGTACCAAGGTGCCTGTATTTAGAAACAGTATACACGCGGCTGGTGGCCGGGGAATATTCGTACTAAATTCCCGTGAATATCTTCTTGCTTCGCCGCATATTGTGACACAAATTGTATACTTCTTTTTACATTTTTACTTTATAGTCATGTCAGTTTACTTCGGTGGAAGGGGGCGGTCGGTGCTCGATTAATAAGATGGGGAATATATTTTCCTGGACGTTTCGTTGGCCACGAGAATATCCCGTTTTATGCGTTCCCAAATTATCGTTTCGAATAAGTTACAAATAATAAGTTATTGATGAATTAATTTATATTTGCGAAGAAACACTCAAGTTTACTTTTCGATCTTCAGTTTCGCGTATTAAAAATACAAGAAATTTAGACGCGTGTAGTTTCGAAACTACTAAGGCTTTATTAATAATTGAGCCATCGTTAGAAGCGGTGAACCTTCCCCTTTAAAATGGCTCTTGGTTTTTGTCGATCCGACTTTCCGTTTTCGAGATATCATCGTGTAAAGACAATCGTAATTTTTAAAATTCCGCCACGTCCGACTCTCCGTCTTACGGAAGCCTATTAACGCGTATTAAAAATACTAAAACTTTAGACGCGTGCAGTTCCGAAACTACTAGCGTTTTATTAATTATTGAACAACTGTTAGAAGCGGCGAATCTTCCCCTTTAAAATGGTTTTTGGTTTTTGACGATCCGACTTTCCGTTTTCGAGATATCGTAATTTATGTAAAGGGGTAATTTTTCTAATTCGACTGTCTCTGTCTTCGTCTAGCGGAGTCGGACCTCTTTGTCGCGCGTGCGTAGTGCTGACCTACCCCGCGTACGTGACTCTCGTGACCCAGTTTCGCGTAGTATTTCCAAGAATTTACTACGCACTGTTTACTATTGTCACGCGCGCGAGATCAATGGACTCGCGCGAGCGCAACGAAATGTAAACAAACCCCTATCTCCGAAACTAGCCACCGCATCGACTTGAAACTAAAATCGCTATATCTCCGGAACTAATAAAGCTATCGACTCCCACAAACGCTCATTTTAAAGGGCATTTCATCCTCTATCCAATGACTACACTCATTACTATAATTTATGCTTCCTTCTATGTTTAATTTGCAATTTACTTTGACATTACATACCTAAAAAAGTTTCTGCAATTCCTATTGATTATAAAACTGGATTATAAATTGTTTATTAAATTGAAAGCGAATTTCAATTTCTGTACAGGATGTTTGCCTAATTACTAGCCAGCATTTTTTCGTCAATAATAGTTTTCTCCGGAACTATCCACTTGAAACAAAATTCGTTTTTCAAGGGCAATTTATCGTCTATCTGTTTCGTGAAAATTTCCACATTTGGACCTTTGAAATTAGCTTAAGGAGACAGAGCCGGAGGACTCTATCTCCCCGAGAAACGGGAAGTAAAATGAAACTTGGCGAACCTGTCTTCCCGTACTGTATCTTCATCCTGACCGTGTACCATAATGGACGCGCGGTCAACGCGAATATTTCCCATCGAGAGATGAATTGGTATCGTCGGACGGTTAAAGAACGGTTAAAGGATCTTTCACCTTATGCCAACAGTTCTTGGCCTCGGCTTTTTGCCACGGGGTACAGTATCGGCTTATAGTGGCGGATATACGCGCGCCTTTTGTCTGCATAAGGCGATCCGGCGAAGTGCAACGTGGCACAGAACGCAACCACGGTATCTGCAAACGAAAGTTCGATATTTATTGGTGACCGATGGAGAAACGTACAGCGGTCCCTGTCTATGCCCATTTCGAATCGTTTGTACGCGCGCAGCCAGGATTATGGAAACCGCGGAGACATTATGCGCGCTTCCAGAGAAGCTCAGACGGGTTTTTTGATTCGTGGAATGATGAAGTGCGAGCTTCCCGTGGAACAGATCGAGCATTTCAGGCCTTCGAAGAAATTTCTCTAACGAGATCATCGAGGTTCTCGAATTTTTCTTGCCTCGATCGTAAGTAGCACGTACACGTTTTTCACCGGATATCACGTGACTTCGCTTGCCTGGCGGTTGCAAAATATAACAGGGATCAACAATGTCTTTCATTAGTGGGGAACAGTTGTTAAAAAGTTGTAAAGCGGTACAAGTTTATTTATTAAAAGTTTCGTTCGTGGTTCGTGGATGTTAGGAGTCTAATTCCTCGAGACAGGTCGTGAAATATTCTGTCATAAATGTCAGAAGCGAGAAGATGCGCGTCGATTTAGAAAGCTTCGCTGATCTATCGCGAATATCAGACCAAAGTACCACCAGCAACGCAGAGCAAATGAAAGCACAACGCGAACGCCGGCGAATCGTAAATTTCACGGTTGTAAATGCCGTTGAAGTATTTCCTTTGCAGGGCCAGTTTGCGTGCGCTATTCGTTCGCAAAATTCTCGTGCACGATGCACCGTCGGAAATCACCCGGGGCATTTTGCAATTCTACCACTCTGTAACAAACTATCGAGCTATAAAACACGTTCGTTCGAAGCTAGGAACAATTTTTCTATCCACGTTCGCAACACGTATTCCCTACTGCATAAATTTTGTTTCGACTTTCGAAATAGGTATTATTACGAACTTTTTTTTTTAATTTTCAAGAGCTTCGCTAATTTCGTTTGTTACAACGACCCAACATTTCCATAGATATTAAAAAAAAAATATGTAGTTATGCTTGAGAAAGTATCCGTATGAATTATGGTACGATCGAAGAGGAACGAGCGTATGGTTAAGCAGGAAATAATCTCAGAATTTATCGCCCCCACTAATGATATAATATAATAGGCAAAGGGACGGGCGGAGACCCGAAAAATGTGTCTCGCGACGTTATTTAGTGACCAGAC